TTTTCAACAGGAACTTGGCATCAGAAATGTGGGTTGCATATGTGATAAGGAGAATAGTCATGTTGATGCTAAGGTCTGCATAATCTTGAACTCCCCCAACTGTTTTTGCTTTTCTCAGGAGCAAATCCAGAACCAGCTGGACCACCTGAAAAGAGTGAAAGATTTAAAGAAGAGGCGTCGGGCACAGGGGGAGCAGGCACGAGCTGAGCTGTTGGTAAGATTCTTTGGAACTCACAGATAATATCAGTTTTGCTGGTAGCTCCCTTATTTTGTAAGGCTGATGTTATTTCCCTTAACCATGTGCAGTCAGGTCACCCAGAACTTCTAGGTGTGGGTGGAAGAACCCTACATGTCAGTTGGGAACTCGCCTGGAGAACCAAGGGATTCCCACATTTGGGGGAAAAGACTCGAATAAGTTTAGAATCCCTAGAGATAGGAGCTATCAAAAGTTTAACTGCTAGCTTTGTGTAGATCAGGGTTGATCCTTGACAAAGCTGATACAGGTGAAATTCTTGGGCACAGTTAACCTCCTTTGATACCATTCTGCTGACAGACGCTGTCAGTGGCTTTCCATGAGCCCCATTGTTGCTTCTTGCTAGAATGTTCCCTTTCTTGGCCGTGCTTCAATTCTGAACTTTTTCTTTGTTCTCTTCCCCAAGCCCCAAGTCTCCCAAGGCCTTGGCCAAGTGGCTAATGTGCTAATTTGTGATAGGGATATTTGAGGGGTTTGTTCTGAAAAAACAAAACAAAAAATACAGACTTTTAAATACATACTTACAGATCTACCATCTAGGTATTTAAGCATTTTTTTAAAATAATAAATAAAATATTAAAAATTTCCACCCATTAGAGGTATTTGCATCTGAAAAGCAAACTCATCGATTAGTAGTGTCTTGTGAGAAAATTTTGTCAGTCCTGGCCAGGGTAGTAAAGAACTTTTGGACAAGGAACTTATTCCCATGATGCCATCAGATCCTATCACTTGTTCTGCCCACAAGATTCACCAAGACCTCAGCTCCCCTTGCTTAAAAATAGGTCTGATGGACGGAGAATCTTCTAGTGAGCTTGAGTGGACTCAAATCATTGTGTGAGAGGACACAACTGTGTCCTCTGGGAAGATTGTCAAAGGGGAGAGACAACCCTTCTCAGAGGAAGAAGGGCCCTGGACCTACTTCTTGGCTCTGACACTAGCCAATTGAATAGATGGAGAGAGGAAGACAGCCTCTCTGGGCCTCAGTTTCCTCATCTGTAAAATGGGTAGGTTGGAGTAGACTTTTAGTTCTTTAGCAAGGCTAGTACTGCCGTCTGGTCCCCTCCGGTGGTGTGGGTGTTTGGGTGTCACCTAAGGAATGGAGTGATTGGGGAGGGGTGACAGGGATTCTAAATGTCCTGCAGTGCAAAAATCAGCCCCATTCCAGGCAGAATTGTCCCCCAGCCAGGGTGCCAATATCACCCTCTTTGAGAAGCACTCTCTTTCAGCTTTAATTTTCCATTTCTAAAACTGTTTATGCGTTGAAAGACTTGTCCAGTTAAGGAGAGGTATGAGCTCATCAAAAGAATTTATAAACAATGGTGTGTGTGCAACACTGTTGCACAGTGAATGCTTAAGAAGACTGGCCAGAGGAATGGTTGTGGGGGTATGTTCTCAGGAGGAGTAGAGTTTAGAACAGGTGCCAGTCAGCTTTCTGTAAAGGACCACATAGTAAATCTTTTTGGCATAGTAGGCCTTATCTTTATCACAACTGCTCAATTCTGCTGTAGTGGCTCAAAAGTAGCTAAAGACAATATGTATATGATGGGTGTGGCTGTGTCCCAGTAAAACTTTACTCCAAGAGATTAAACAAAGGAAGTTTGCTGGCCCTTTGTTTAGAGCAAAGCTTTAATAGAGCCTCATTAGTGGGAGATGGGGGGAGA